CTGTCCTAAATATTTCGCTATGCGCAATGTTTTGATTCTCCCGCTTCTCCCTGTGCAGAGAGATTTTCTGGATAAGGATTTAAATTTATTTCTAGCAAAGTTTGAGTCCAGCAATAACACTATCTGTTGCTGAATTTTTGACTTATGTATGTAAATCTCGTAAAGCATGTTAGGATTGCTTTGTATTTTAAGATAATGGGAATATTGGTTGGTGTTGTTTTAGTACTATCCCTTAAATTTTGCCTTTGTTCTGGTTATCTGTGTTATGCCAATAAAGGTTTTCTGTTCTGTTGTTCTGTGTAGGTCGGTTTTTAATTGTGAAATGAGAGAATTTGTTGAGGCTCTAAAATGTATTTTGAGCCAATAGCTAAAAGCAGCTAACCAAGTTTTCGTTTCTGATGGACCAGAGCCTGCAATAAACCCAGATGCCAACTTTGCTGCCACATACACCCAGACAACACAACCACTGGACCTTACAATATCAACTACACCACCAGAGGCTCATTCACTTGCTCATCTTCTAACATTGTGTATGCCATTAAATGCCAACAATGCCCTTCAGTTCTCTACATAGGACAAACAGGACAAACCCTATGCCACAGGATAAATGGACACAAATCTGACATCAGGAATCACAAGACTAAGAAACCTGTAGGAGAACACTTCAGCCTTCCAGGACATTCAGTGAATGACCTCAAAGTAGCTGTTTTATTACAAAGAAACTTCAGGAACACAGTGGAAAGGGAAACTGCTGAATTACATGTTATCACAATACTTGGAATAAATACCTCCCCAGGAGTTAACAGGGATATTGGTTTCTTATCTCATTACATATGCTAATTCATTCAGTCCTCGCATATGTATTCTCAACAAGAAGGACTATACATTCTCTATATTTTAGTGTATTTCTTTTTCAGAATAGTATATTAGAATACTGAATGTTAATGCAAGGAATATTGGAACGTTTTGCTGACATACCACTGCACCCACCTCACAAAAGAAAAAAAATGTTGTTAAGTTACCTCCATCCCTGAGAGGAGATCACTTCCCACAATTAGAAAAGATATGTTTACACATTTATCCCCTATTTTGACATATTGACCAACTGTTGACCATATAACCTTAGCTTGTTATTTGGTTTTGTCTTTGCATATCTTAAAACATCTTCATCATGTTACATGTTAAATTGCTGTTCAGCCTTTGTCTATAAGTTTGAACGCTTACCTTCCATTCCAATGTATTTGAAAAAGTGTGCATGCACACGAAAGCTCATACCTTGAATAAACCTTTCTTGGTCTTAAAGGTGCCATTGGACTCTAAATTTGTTTTATATACAGGGAGAGCTATTTTAGCAATACCTCAGACTCCCCACCCATTGAAGGTGTTACCCAGCGCAGTATAATTGGTGGGTGGTCTGTGTCTGGATTCAAATTTTACATAATTACATTTAACCTATACTTCTGGCATATAATGGTCCCTTGATCTTTTTGTGTATGTTTTCATATTTCCTACGTAATATGACAGCACCCTGATGGATTCATTTACTGCATCTGAAGAAGTGGACTCTGGTTGACGAAAGCTTTCGTCAACATAAGCATAGATTCAGGTGGGTAGCCGTGTTGGTCTGAAGCAATAGGACAAAGTTTGAGTCCAGTGGCACCTTTAAGACCAACAAAGTTTAATTCTGGGTATACGTTTTTGGTTAGACAGTGTTCTAGATGCAACGAACATGAAATTGAGCCAACTTCAGAGGACGGCAGAAGACAGGAAGGCCTGGCGTGATCTGGTCCATGGGGTCGCAAAGAGTCGGACTCGACTGTGCAACTGAACAACAACAACAAATAAGCTTTTGTATGCATGCAGACTCATTCAGATACATTGAAATAGTTTCCCTCCAACCTTACATATAGATAGAGAGGGTGTTAGTTGCCAGGAAGAGCTAGTTAGAGCCAAGATGCATAAATAACTGGGCATAGGTATAGCTGAGCTTCGATTAAAGCTGTTGAGACCTGTGAATGGCAACAAATTAGCATACAAATACAAAAATTAACAGATGTGAGAACTGATTCAGGTGGGTAGCCATGTTGGCCTGAGCAACAGAACAAAGTTTGCATCCAGTAGCACCTTTAAGACCAACAAAGTTTAATTCTGGGTATAAGCTTTCATGGGCATGCATCAGATACTAGATATTGGCTTCTTATCTCACTACACATGCTAAGTCAATCAGTTCATTCTTATACTCAGAATTAAACTTTGTTGGTCTTAAGGTGCCACTGGACTCAAAATTTGTTCTATCAACATAAGCAAGCATTGTTATGAAACAGGACAGTTTCTCTTCTACAACACCAGGCACCTGAGCAATTTATTAGTTTCATGGTAGCTAGTCCATTGATGAATTTCATTCATGGTAACACTACATTTGTTAAAATTAAGTTTGGACATTCCCTTTAGTCATGATTCTTCTCCATCTGTGCCTTTCCATATCCTCACCATCAAGCACTCAACTCATTACAACTGTTTAAACAGCACCTGACGTGTAACTCTAATTCTGACAATCAGTAAAACCTTTATTAAAAATTGTCTAGCAAATAATAACAACAATAATAAAAATCAGTGTTTCGCTTATTAGACACTTTGGCTTTCAATCAGGGACAGGTCTGTTGCTAACTCTTCAGTTGTAGAGCTAAATAACGTGTCATGAAGAGGGAAATTGTGTTTAGGTTATTAGATAATTGTCTGAGCCAACATAATTTCTACTGTGGGACTGACAGAGCTGAAGTTTGAATTGCAGAGAGTATAATTTAATTCATGTTTTGCAGGGGGGGGTATTTTAGTAAGTGAGTGGGGGGTTATAACTTCTACCATTGGTGCTGGGCTCAGTTCCAAAAAGGGAAAGTGCGCTGCAGAGATATTAACTGATGTCTTTGTGAAGCAAGTAAATGTAAGATGTCCATTATTAGACCAGGGGTCTCTGAATTCAGGAAGGAATTGGAGGTTGGCACTATATGTGTAGCTTATGCTGTTGGGGACCTCTCCTGTTACTTCCAAGGCAGCCCTGAGGAAGTCTTTCTGGTGTGTCTTAGTGGTTAAAGAGAAAACAAGGTGTTGAAAGCTGTTCTCTATGTTTCCAATATGGTGTGTATTGAGTGTTTTCATTAATATATTTCTCCGCTATCCTAGTTTGCAGTATCATTTCAGTGACTAGAGGTTGTAGCTGGTTAACAGAGACATAATGGACACCACCAGCCAGGTGCTGAAATGTCAGCACCAGATCAAAGAGAGGAAGAAGGTCTGCACAATAATACCTGCATACTAAAACCTCAAAGCATCAGCTAACCTGGAGCTGGATGGCTCACCCTTCCAGTTGCAGGTAATACCTCAACCAGGAATTGACTATTAAAGGGGACGAATCTGAAGGTGCTTACAAAAATGTGTGTGAACAGACTTGGGCTTAGAGGGGGGAGACCTCAGTTCAAACACCTGGGTGACCTTGGTCTGTATGTCTCAGCCACCCTTGTTTTGAGGATAAAATTACAGGGAACCATTCAGAGGTCTCTTCTCTTTGGGGGAAGGGCAGGATAAAAAGCCAAAATGTCAATAATGTTCTGCATGGGGGGGGGGGCTATTTATGAAGGTCTTTGTGGTAGTAAGATGACCCAACTTTCCTATTTATTTATGAAGGACCATGGCTGTAGTAGTCTTAATTAAAAGGGGTGAAAGATCCAGCAATCTTTTTGATTGAGGGTCTTCTGTCCCACAACCTTCTCACCCCTCCTTGATCTAATTTCTTCAGGTTACCCAAAGGTCAATCGAACACAGCTTCATAGAACTGAAGCAGGAAGGGAGGGGTGACTCTTCCTAGCCTCTCCACGGTGAAAACTCTGCTTTCCTGCAGAGGAGCTACACGTGGGGTCAATTTAGTCTCAAATTCTTAGCCGAATGAAAGGGTAACTATTAATTCAGCCATGGCAAAGGTTCAAGAAAAAAGGAAGACCTCTGCACACGAATACCCTCCTCCCTCCACCCCCGCAATAGGTCTTCATTGTTTTCTCACAAATACCAACTTCAAAGGCAAGGTAATGCTTGCTGGAAGCTTCTGGCGGGGGTGGGGGGGATCTGGGGAAGCCAACGGGTAAGGACAAGGGTGGTGTGCAGTGATTTGTCCTCGTGAAAGGAAAGAGCAGGCAGTTGGAAATGGGTCCCTTTCTTTTCAGGGCAGGGATCTTTCTGGTTGCTGGGTTGTTTGTTCTTGGCAGAAGGATTTTAGCGTGTGTGTTTCTTCTCTACCTCCCCCCCCCCTTTTAGCATCCCGAAGTAACGGGCATCTGGGAGCTGTTTCAAGTGGACTTTAATTTGTCTTAATGAAACTCACAGCAATAATTCCCAACCGTCCCCTCTGCGCAGCTCCCACATACCAAGCAGCCTCCCTAAGGAAAGCAGGGGGTCGACAGCCGCTGTCGGTTGAAACGCGCTTCTCTCTCTCTCTCTCTCTCTCACACACACACACACACACACACACGGGACTTTTGAAACGGAGACCATCAGCTTTTGTGCGTGACAGAAGATAGGATCCGTGTTATCATACGGGGTTTGAGGGGTCGTCGTCGTCGTCCCCCGATCCATGAATAAAAATTAACCGATGGTAAACAGAGGAGACAGAGAGGGAAAGGGGGGGGGGGGAAACGTTCTTAAAGTTCGTGCAAAGCAGCAGAACTGCGGGGGGGAGCAAAACGGCCAAGTGATTGCCTTCACCATGGAGATCCGGAGACCAATGAGAAGGGCGGAAGCTGTTTATAGAGGCGGAGCGTCTCCATAGCACCCAGAGAAGCCTTTTCGAGCAGCTACTTATTGACAGTCATTCTGTAGCTTACAAATCACAGCGGCTCCGGAATAAAAGAGCTCTGGCAGCGCGAGGCGTAATACTTTATCCGACGGGAGAATAGGAGAAATTGACCCCCCCCCCCTTCTTTTTTCAAAATCCCGCAAAACAGTCGGGTTTCGCTGTAAACATTTGGCAGCGGTGCGGTTTCGTGGTAGGATCAGGTAAGAGAAACTGAATTCCTTCTTTCGCCCAGGGAGGGTCCCAGATTAAGTTTAGTCGTATTTCTACATCATGTTAGATTGGCAATTATGCCGCACCCCAGCCCATTAAGGGTTGGTGCCATGTAGGGCCTTCCCCATACATCAATCAAGTATACAATCACAAGTACACCCATTGTAGCGGCCTCCATAAAATATTTGGGTTTTTAGTTTATTTTTGTGTGCTGAATGTTTCGATAGTTGGCATCTTTAAAAAATTCTAGTTTGGGGTTGGGGGATGGCAGAAAATATAAAGACAAGTGCTTCACAGTAGCCACTATCTCTGGATTGACTCTCCACTCTGAATAACTTCTATAACATAGGTTGTATTTTGCGAACAAGGTCTATATGATTTTTAAAGCAGTACTGGTATAATTTTACAACTTGATCCAGAAACCAGCTGAACCTAAGCATATGGTTTCGAGCCAATAACACTTCATACCAGGAGTAATGCCCTATGCTAAAAACATTACATGAAGGTTAGTTCTGTTGAAAATCAATAGGGCTAGTATCGAGTCAACATAACGTTTGTAGCACTTAGGTTGGTACCAGTTGTGTTGAATTAAAGGGCTTCAAGTTACGGATTGTGGCTGCTGGAAATATATTTCCCATTTTGATTAGGCATCCCAAGGATAGATTTGGAAATCCAAAGTGTTTGGGGGGGAGGGGGGACTTTGACTTTAGGCATCCACTGTCTGCTGATTTGGATGGCAAGCATATTTTTAAATGTTCTTTTAAAATGTCCACATGTGTATCTGCTACTTTGTAAAGATGATAGTGATTGTACTTGAAGTGAGAAATTCAATACATGCTACCTTGTATTGCTCTGATTAATTGGGCAAATGTTGGTCGGTGTCATTCTTGTGACTCCTAGCATTTAAGGGATTACCCAGTTATTACCCAGAAAGAGGTCATGCTATTTATGTTTTATGTTTCATGTTTCTTTCTGGGTTTTTATTGTAGTTTCAGTAGGAACTAAACAACTTGGGTTCTTGGGCGTTCTGAGAAAAATATTGTCACAAAAGGGAGAAGGTGGCACTGGGACGAATTCCAACCCCTGTCTTATCACTGTGGTCTACATAAGCAAGATCATTAAGCAGGTTGATTTGAATTCCTAACCCAGGCATGACTCAGTTCTCTGGGGGAGACATTAAGGATATATTTGGCTCCAGTGCTTTTAGAATGTTGGGCTCAAAAACAACCTGCTAAGCTGTTTGTTTGCTAGATACCCTAATAGTTAGGGATCTTGAACTTCATGTTGTTGTTACAGGACTACCACCCCCTGCCCTCTCCCTTTTACCCTCTTCCTGCTCCCCCACAACTCCTGAATGCTGGACCTCCCTATTTTGCCTTCTACTGACATGACTGACAACTGGCTGAATGTGCAATCAGAGGAAGAGAAAGGTCAGGAAAGCAGCATGGTGGATTCAGGCAACTTGGACGACAGCTTGACCAGCTTACAGTGGCTTCAGGAGTTCTCCATCATCAATGCCAACATGGGCAAGTCCTCCTCCTCCCCGTGCAGCACTGATCCCCATGGTTATCACAAGATTCCTGGATCAGCTGCACCATGTTCTCCCTTGGCTGGTGATCCAGCTTGCATGGGGATGCCCCATACTCCAGGCAAACCCATCTCCTCCTCCACATCCAGGACTACACATCTGCAAGGCCAACCACTGGAAGACATAGATTACAAGACTAATCCCCACGTGAAGCCTCCTTATTCTTATGCCACACTCATATGCATGGCAATGGAAACGAGCAAGAAAACCAAAATCACCCTCTCAGACATCTACAAGTGGATTACAGATAATTTCTGCTACTTCCGGCATGCTGATCCCACATGGCAGGTAAGTGGCTGTGTCCCTCCCCACTTGGGCATCTGCCTTTGAAGTGAGGCCAGTCATTAATGTGGGTGACGTTTCATGATGCACCTATTTCCCCCCTGTAAGGGAAAAGAAAACAGAATCTATTGATACTTCGTTGTGATTCAAAGCTACCTATTCTCCCAAGTCAGTATAGATAATAGGGTGTGTTATTGCTGTTACTGACATTTTCACACTGGTTTCAATTCTCATTCATGTTGCAGCGAATGATAGAGGCCCATTCTGCATCTAGCATTCGCTCCGTTGTTTTACCAAACCCACACTGGAACAGAAAAAGATGTGACTCCAAACCACATTCAAATATCCCAGGCCAATGCCATACTGAGTGCACAGTCACCCCTGAACGGCCATAAAACGGCCATAAATCTATGCAGACGGTACCATAAAACTGAGAGATCAAAGGAAGTGAAAGTGGAGTGCAGTCTGGACACTGCCGTAAAATCGATCAAAGTGAAAGTGGCATGCAGTGTAGAGGGGAATTTCTGTTCCAGCATGGGCTTGGTAAAACAGTGGTGCAAATGCTAGATGCAGAATGGGCCAGATTTACCCTCAAGAAGTTGAGATAGTGCTCTCTGGCCTCCTTGTGCGGAGTCCAAATAATCTGTGGTTGATCAACAAATAGTTCTTTAAAGCCCTAATCTGGGAGAACCGGGTTTGATTCCCCACTCCTCCACTTGCACCTGCTGGATGACCATAGTTCTGTCAGAGCTGTACTTGAAAAAGAGCAGTTTCTCTCAGAGCTCTCTCAGCCCCACCTACCTCACAGGGTGTCTTTTGTGGGAAGGGGAAGGGAAAGGAGTTTGTGAGCCACTCTGAGACTCCCTTGGGTAGTGAAGGGCGGGGCATAAATCCAATCTCTTCTCTTCTTCTTCTCTAAGATCAAAGTTCCCTAATTTTCAGTTCTGCCATCTGATAGGGGACTCACATTGCTACACCATTGGTCAGGCTAAAGTTTTTCTGGCCAAGAGGAAGAATTCTCTTTATGTTCCTCCTATAACACTAGAAAGCAAATAAATTATGGTGATATTCATGCAGTAGCTCCTTTCTACCCTTCCTTTCCCTGAGGGTGCAATTATGGTTGCTTGGTATATCTCCTATCAAAATGTTTTGCCTGCAGTAAGCATTTAGTAGTACACAGAGGTTGCTGTAAATTAGAAGGAAGAAAACGTAAACAGGCATTTACTCATTGTGAAGATAGTAATTATCTTTATGTCTTCCTTGCAGGAAACATGCTAAGGATGATTGAGGGAATGATTGTCCTTTTTCTAAGACTGCAGAAATCACAGTAACTATAGTCATTTAAGGAGGTTCTAGAATAAAAGAGGCTTCATGCAGAGTGTAGAAACAAGAGAAGAACACCCCAGTGAGGACAAAGAGAAAGAAAAACAAGTGGCGTGATAGGGAGAGCCAGCATGGTGTAGTGGTTAGGGTGCTGGACTAGGATGTGGGAGACCCAGGTTCAAATCCCCACACTGCCATGGAAGCTGGCTAGATAACCTTGAGCCAGTCTATCTTAACCTAACATACAACATAAAAATGGAGGAGGGGGAAATGATGTCATAAGCAGTGTTCCCTCTAAGCTGAGTTACTGTGAGCTGGCTCACAGTTTTTAGCCTCCAGCTCACACAGTTTTGTCTTTGCTCAGGAAGGATGGCTCCAGAGCAAACTAATTTATGCAGCAGCCAAATCACTTGCTCACCACTTTAAAGCCGTTAGCTCACAAAGTAGAATTTTTGCTCACAGGACTCTGCAGCTTAGAGGGAGCATAGGTTGTAAGCCACTTTGGGTCCCAACTGGGGAGAAAAGCAGGGTATAAATCAATCAATAAAAAGAAAAACAGGTGGAAGGATAAGCAGGTACGAAGATGAAATGCTGTGACCAAGTGACTGGTTGAGGCAAGAAGGTGAAGTGCATCAGCCAAGTGACTGGTTCATTATACACTTGAACATTCTCCCAACAGTCTTATACTGAAGGCCTACTGCTAGTCCAGTCACTTGTAACTTGGGGATTTGGGAGTCAAAGATCTACAATGTCAGGAGGCACAGAAGCTCTGTTTGGTGGGAGAAATGAGCAATCATGCCTCTTTTGAATTTTGGCTAAAGGAATGTACCCCCCCCCCCAGGCTAATACCTGAAGTCAGTAAGACACATGATATTAAGAGGCTATTCCTCTTTTGCATCCCCACTGATATCACAACTCTGATTCAAACTGGGGCCCCACACAGGTAACATTTACCTTTTATAAATTATGGGAAGATTTGTTCATAGATCTCCCAGGATCATGTCTAATATGGCCCTAGGTTACCTGCTCTAGGGCAGTTTACAGTGAACTCCTAAACAAAGTTACACCCTTCTAAACACATTGACGTCAATAGACATAGAAGGGTATAACTCTCCTTAGGGTGGTCTTGTTAATCTTGAATGCGTTTTAAGAGCAGGCCACTGAACTTTCCATGAATCTTTCCACATCTCTTTGTTCCCACTTCTTTCACAAGGACTTTGAAGGTCAACCTCTCACACCAAGAAACTGTCTTCCATATCCTGTCCTTCCGTCTAACAGATTAATTTCCATGTTCAAATTTTATCATTTCACAAATAGAAGGTACCAGTCCTGAACGATCTGTATCACTCCTGGAAAACGTTTAAAACAAGGGACTACTTTGCATACTACTGAGGTTAAACAGATAATCTGTTCTTGCCCCCAGACTTCTTCCCATGATCCATTGGTATGGGGAAATCAAAGGTGCTGGCAGCATCACTTCATTGAGGATTTATTACAGTAGCCAAATAATTGAATTCTATCATAGAATCATAGAGTTGGAAGGGACCTTCAGGGTCATCTAGTCCAACCCCCGGCACAATGCAGGAAATTCACAAATGCCTCCCTCTCCACACCCGTAGCTGATACTTCTCAAGATTGACTTTGAAGACAGAGAAATATATGAAAGAAGGGACTGTAAAGAAGTGGAAAGGATAATAGAAACAAGATAGGACTATGAGAGAGCAAATGAAAGAGTATTAAATAAAAAAGAGGAGAAAAGTGAAAGGAATGGGATATTGTAATCATCTACATGCCTCATGATCTTTTATTTGTCCTTCAAATATTCCTCCTACGACAGTAGTGCTTTTCCTTCACTCCCAAGCATCAGATACAGATCTGAAAAACAGCATATTTCAACGATCTATTTTTCATCCTGTTCATTGATCTTTTTATCCCATTGTGCAAGCACTGTTTTTTCAGAAATACGTCTCAGTGAACAGAAAACTATATCCACATATGATCCAGGCGTTCTTATGTTTGATAGGCCTGGCATCTGTGCTATTTGCATGGTTGTGGTTACTCTTGAGGAGTAGCTATGGCACTGAGGAGTAGCTATGGCACTGAGTCTCAGACAGAAACCCCACTGAGATATTCCTCACCATATTATCCTTAGAACCATAGAATCATAGAGTTGGAAGGGACCTCCAGGGTCATCTAGTCCAATGCCCTGCACAATGCAGGAAATTCACAAATACCTCCCCCTCCACACACCCAGTGACCCCTGTTCTATGCGCAGAAGATGACAAAAAAGCCTCCAGGAGAAAAATTGCTTCCTGACCCCAAATTGGCGATCAACATTTCCCTGGACATGTAAGAAAGGGCCACACGAACTAAGCACTAATGCAACCCTTCCTGCCCTCCCTATCATTATCACAGAATCAGCACTGCTGTCAGAGGGCCCTCTAGCCTCTGTTTGAAAACCTCCAAAGAAGGAGAGCCCACCACCTCCCAAGGAAGCCTGTTTCACTGAGGGACTGCTGTAATTGTCAGGAAGCTCTTCCTAATGTTTAGCTGAAAACTCTTCTGATTTAATTTCAGCCCTTTGGTTCTGGTCCGAACTTTTGGGGCAACAGAAAGCAACTCCATACCATCCTCTTGATAACAGCCCTTCAAGTACTTGAAGATGGTTATCATATCACTTCTCAGTCATCTCCTCTCCAGGCTAAACATACCCAGCTCCTTCAACCTTTCCTCATAGAACTTGGTCTCCAGACCCCTCACCATCTTCATTGCCCTCCTCTGGACATGTTCCAGCTTGTCTATATCCAGGGGTCATTTCGTAGAAAAAGAGCTGGGGGACTCATTAGCATAACTCATTAGCATATGCCACACCCCCTGACATCACCGGAAGTGTGTCCTCCCCACAGCCGGCGGCGACCTCCAGCGGGCACCAGCAGGGAGCTCCAGGCCCCGCCCTCCCGCACCTCACCCGGGGGGATGGCGTCCCCCCCCAAATGACCCCTGTCTATATCTTTCTTAAATTGTGGTGCCCAAAACGGAACACAATACTCTAGGTGAGGTCTAACCAGAGCAGAGCAAAGCGATACCATCACATTGCGTAATCTGGACACTACTTCTGTTGATACAGCCCAAAATCACATGTGCCTTTTTAGCTACAGCATCACCCTGCTGAGTCATGTTCAGTTTATGGTCTACTAAGACATCTAGATTCTTTTCACACGTCATACTGTCAAGACAAGTCTCCTACATTCTATAATTATGCATCTGATTTTTCCTACCTAAATACAGAACTTTACATTTATCCCCATTGAAATTCATTTTGTTTTAGCCCAGTTTTCCAGCCTGTCAAGATCATCCTGTATCCTGACTCTGTCTTCTACTGTATTTGCTACCCCTCCCAATTTAGTATCATCTGCAAATTTAATAAGCATTCCCTTTATCCTTTCATCCAAATCATTTATAAAGATGTTGAACAAAACAGGTCCCAGGGCAGATCCTTGAGGCACTCCACTTGTCACTCCTCTCGAAGAGGATGAGGAACCTTATGCTAAAACAAAATCATTTCACCTTCTCCAAATGATTAGCAGGTCACTTAATTACTGGACTGCAGGATCCAATGGAATCCTCATAATTTTGCTTCCTGCCAGGACATCTGGGTGAGTTTGAGCCCAACCCTTCCTGCA